CCAAACTATGGTATATATACACAATGGAGTGCTATGCAGCACTAAAGAATAATGTAGAGTCTGCAAAACCCCACATAACATGGATGAATGTGGAGGACATTATACTGAATGAAATAAATCAATCACAGAAGAACAAATGTAGAATTAGTTCATTGTTGTAAAAAGTGAAGGAAAGGTTTATATATGAAAGGAAACTTTCTTGGTTGCCAGGGAGCCCACAGACTGGAATGGAATTCCTGCCAGCCCAGAAGGTGGGTAGGAGTGAGGGATAGCCACACCTCCCTTCACCAAGAGGGTGTTGGGTATGAGAGTAACAAGGGGAATATCACACCTTTCCAGTGTTCATGTCTGGAATGTCCTTGCGGTCCCCGGCAAGTGAAGCCTATTCTTAATTCCTGGTATTTGGGTGAACACTGTCACTTGAAATATCCAAAATGGTTAAACTGCTTCTAAACTTTCAAAATGGCTACACCCTCTGGACAGGCAAAAGTCCACAGCTCAGCCCACCTCCCTCTTCACTCTTTTATTCACCAGCCACTAGTGCAGCCCTCTGTGCAGCCCTCCATGCAGCCCCTGGCTATCAGGGCCGATTTTTAGGTTAATTCTTAGGTCCTAACACCACTTGGCAGTATCCAAGCTGTCCATGCCGTCAGAATCACTGACAGCCCGCAGCTCCGTGTCTCCTTTTTTGGGGTTTACACACAGGTTCTTCCACTAGTTGGAGTCCAGTCCACTTCTGTACCCTTCCCTTTAAAGTTCAGAGCTCTAGGATTATCCTCTGTATCTGTGTTAACTGGTTCCCCTTTTCTTTGTTGAAGAGGGTCTGTGCAGTCTGTCTGCCTATTCTGCCATCTTACCAGAACTCCTGGAAATGCTTCTCTTTTTTTAATGTACTCTTTATTTGGTGACCATGTTACCTTTGCCTCCTATGCTGTGGGGAAATTAGGAAGAACAGTTTGTTTTGGCAAATCCTTGTAGAAAAGTACAGTGATAGCATGGCAGAAGCCCCCAATCTCTGATATTTACTGATTATAAAATTATTTTATAAAATTATATTACTTTTCTATTCTGCTATAAAAAAGATGTAGAGATCTATTTAGAAAGAAAATACTTAAAAGTCAAATATTGATTGAATGAAACAGAACTGTCTAAAAGCCTGCTTTCTGAAATGAAAAGTCTTAAAAAATACTTCTTTGTTAACACTATGGAGAAATGAAAAACAAAGATCTTGTTTTGCTTGGAGTAGAGTAGTTATCTTCAAGGTGTTTTGTTACCAGGATGATGATCTCAGTGGAAATATGAAGGTAGAACTTATCTTCTACCGTAATTATTTCTACTTACTCAATTGTAAATTTCCATTTTGGGTCTTGGGGACCAAGACTAAATGCCCATGTTCTACAAAGTGACAGTTTGGGAAGTGATTTTTTTTTATGGACAACAAAATAAGAAAGGTAATCGGGAAATCGATGTTGCCTACAGTTTTGTGAATAGGTCAGAAGGAGGTGCACAGGCCTTTTGAATATGTCCCTCTTCTGGTGCTGACACTGTCTGTGCACGTTGGACACAACTGCAGCAGGGCTATTTGCTGGTAACTCTCTCCTGTGCTCCAGGCTCTCAAGGTAGCAGAGGAATCCAATGTACAATATGAACACTTCCCACGATATTTTTAGAGCACAGTGTATTTGATTGACAGCAATGAAGGCATCCTTTTAGAAGGCCAATTCTTGTTTTAAGCTGTGTTGTTAGCTCATTTTTTCCAACTTAAGACACTGCATGAAGTGCCTCTTGTGAGTCTAGCCCAGGGACAAAGACCGGTTCCTCCACTGTCTTTGGAGTTTTACTCAATCTTCAAGGAATTTGCAAAGACAAATAACCTAATTTGGAAGCCAGTATGAGAACTTTCTATATAATCATATGTATATGCGGTGTCTGTTTCCAGGGGAAGTCATAGAACATTGCTTCCAAAATGCTGTGCAAATCACAAGGGATACAAAAACACATGCACATATATATGGAGATACACATATATAGAAACTCTGGTGTTGCTGTGGTAAGGCATTCAGCTGCTAATCAAAAAGTTCAGTGGTTCAAACCCAGTAGCTGCTCTATAGGGGAAAGATGAGGCAGTCTGCTTCCATAAAGATTTACAGCCTTGGAAACTCTGTGGGGGTTGCTATGGGTCAGAATCAACTCCTTGGCAGAGTTTTTTTTTTTTTTTTTTTTTTCAGGTGACAGTAGTTAAGCACTTGGCTGCTAACCAAAAGGCCGGCAGTTCAAACCCACCTGCTACTCTGTGGGAGAAAGATGAGGCAGTCTGCTTCCATAAAGATTTACAGCCTTGGAAACCTATGGGGCAGTTTTACTCTATTCTATAGGGTTGCTATGAGTCAGAATGAGTCAACAGCAGTGGGTTACATATATACATACACATTTATGATATATATCACGAGTCAGAATGAGTCAACAGCAGTGGGTTACATATATACATACACATTTATGATATATATCACATGTAACTCATGGTAGCATTTGCCCAGAAAAAGCATAAGAAATTCCTGGAGATCATCTAAACTTTTTGTTTTCCAGTTGAATTCTGTTCAACATTAGTGGGCTGTTGAATGGGACTTGGAAATATTTTTGTTGCACTGCAATGTTACTTTTTGTAATGGAAATTGACTTACATCCCTGATTTAAGTTTTGCTACTGAATTTATTTCAAAATTATTCTTCTGACTATATCTTTTTCCTACCAATATTCACACACTTCTCTCTGGTACTTGTTACTTCTCAGAGTTGTCATTCAGTAGGACTGAACCTCTCCAAAGTGTGAAAGACAAGAAAGTAAGTAGGGAGGTGAGTAGAAAGCGAGAAAATCAAATAATGAGAATAATAGGAAGAAATTGTTTTGTTAAATTTTATTTCTTTTGATTGTAAGTCTATACTAACCAGGAAAATAGTACTAGGATGCTTCCAGGTGTATTTTACCTTTTCATGCTTGTTTTCCCCAATTTTAATAGGGAGTTAGTGGACCCCTCATTCATACTAAAAATGAATTTAAATGTATGTATTAACTCAGCAGTGGCTCATACCCATGACTAGCCCTATAGGACCTGAAGGACAAGTAACAGATTTAAGTTTCTTTCTATTTTATACCCTTGACGAGTTGTATAATAATATTTTGAAGGGCTTTACCTCCCATAAGCTCACCCTATGTGATTAGATCTTGAAATGTATGATAGATCAGATTTTTAAAAATTTTTTATTGTGATTTAGGTGAAAGTTTACAGAGCAAATTGGTCTTCCATTAAACAGGTTATACACATTTTGTTTTGTGACATTGCTTGCAGTCCCCACAATGAAACAGCACTCTTCGCACTTCCTCCCAGTGTTTACCATTTCCCTTTGTGCTTCTTTGCTATCCTTTCCTGTCTTCTGAGATTCATCCCTGCTGCCCTTTTGTTCTTCTATGGTAGATTGTTCTGAGGACTGCGTACCTCCCTGGTATTATTGTTTGCCTTATAGACCAGTCTGTCGTTTGGCTAAAAATTAAGCCTTATGGGTGAGTTCAATTCTAGGCCTGAAGGGTGTCTAGGGGCCATAGTCTCAGGGGTTCTACCAGTCTCTGTCAGACCAAGTAAGCCTGGTCTTTTTTATGATTTTGAGTTTAGTTCCACATTTTTCTCCCACTCTATTCAGGACCTCCTATTGTGACCCCTTTCAGAGCAGTCAGCAGTGGCAGCACAGCATCTAGCTCTTCTGGTCTCAGGGTCATGGAGGCTGGGGCTTGTGTTGTCTGTTAGTCCTTTGGACCAATTGCTTACATCTCTGATTTTCTTTACTCTGTTTTGCTCCAAACAAGGAGAGACCAATAGTTGCACTTTAGATGGCTGCTCTCAAGCTTTTAAGACCCCATTTGCTACTCACCAAAGTAGGATGTAGAACATTGTTTTTATGGACTATGTTATGCCAATTGACCTTGATGTCCTCCAAGGCTGTGGTCCTAAGCCCCTAGGCTCAGAAAGTCATTTACTCAAGGTGTTTGGTATGGCTAAGACATTTTCATAATTTTGTTCCCTGTATGCTCTACTATATTCATGGATATATATGCAGCATATATAAATGTATATAGAGAAATAGCCTCTGTCAAACCTATATATATTCTTGGGTGTAGTCCCATGTGTCTCTCCCCCGCTCCCCCCCTTCAGCTTGTGTATCTATTTGTGTATCTAAACCAAAAGAACCAAACCAAACTCACTGCCATTGAGTCAATTCTGACTCATAGCAACCCCAAGACAGCAAATCTTTACAGAAGTACATCCTCCAGTTTTCTCATTGGCAGCCAAATGCCTTAGGCATTGTGTCACCAGAGCTATTGCTATCACTGTTAATGCAGGACTGTGTATAATAGTATTTCCCTTTACCTCTTGTGCTCCTCCTGGTGTCTTCCTTTGCCTTAATCATTTTGTGCTGACCTCCCTGTTTTTGTATATTGCCTTTTCTTTTACCCAGGTTAATGTAAGTCTACCCTCTAGTAGTGTTGTGCCTAAGGCACTTGACTGCTAACCAGAAGGCTGGCGGTTCAAACCCACCAGCCACTCCTCAGAAAGTTGGGCAATCTACTTCCATAGTGATACTGCCTCAGAAACCCAAGGAGGGGTCGCTATGAGTCAGGTCCAACTTGATGGCACACAACACCACCACCACCACCCTCTAGTTGGTGATTTACCCTCCCTTACCCTCCCAACCCTTCTAACCTTCAAAGAATGTTTCTTTCTTGTAAACCTTTTCTTGCCTTATTAAATAGTGGTCTCATATAATATTTGTTCCTTTGTGATTGGCTGATTTCATTCAGCATAAGGTCCTCTAGTTTCTTCTATGTTTTGAGGTGGTTCATAGATTCATCACATTGCATAGTATTCTGTTGTGTGTAGAGTAAGATTTTTGAAGGCATTATTTTTAAATTAGTTAAATCTAACTTACAAACTCTTTTACCAATAACAGAAATAAGGGAGTGGCCAGGACGGCCTCCAGCTCAGCACAGGAGGAAATCATCCAGTGGTTTAAAAAGGATCAGCTACCCCTGCGAGCTGGCTACCAGAAAACGTCAGACACCATTGCTTCCTGGTTTCATGGTGAGTGCAGAGATTCACTCAATGGAACCTCTACTGATGGTGGATGAAACTGCTAATCCACCAAGAAGGCAGGAAGAAGGCTTCCTTTTATTTGCTGCCCCAAAGAGTCTTACAAATTATTTTTGCTGCCCCAAAGAGTCTTATAAATTATTTTCACGAAGCAGTTTTTTTCAAAGGCCTCTCAGTGGGCTTCATTCTCATGATGTAGTTAGAAAGCAGTCAGCATTCACACTGGCTGACCATCATGGATTAATTTAGGGGGCAGTGAGTTTATGTTAATGAGGGAGGAAAAACTCAGAAAAGGAGGGAAATAAAGGTTACCCAAACGCTTGAAGAATGTAATCAATGTTATTGAATTGTATATGTAGAAATTGTTGAATTGGCATATGTTCTACTGTGGATTATTTTCAACAACAAAAATAAATTTTATTTTATAAAACCAGGCCTCCATAACCAGTTGAATAACCCAAAAAAAGTCATTTTCTTTCTATGTAGCAAATCAATTTCTCTGAACCTCATTTCCCTCATCCATTAAATGAAAGATTTGAACTCCGTGATCTCCAAAAATTCTATGGTTTTGATCCTTTATTTCTAAGAGTGCAGTGTGGATTTTTTGTATCCTGATCAGATATTAGCCAATTAACCATTTCTGTATTTAACCCAAGAAAGTTGATTACTTCAAATCCTTCTGTCTACCTACCTTACTTCACCAACATCTCACTTTCTTGGATTTTAAGAATAGAAAGTTGCTTCTTAAATTGGATTCATAGGTGGTTGAACTGGACTGGTTTGCTATAAAGCCAAAAAAGCCAAACCCATTGCCCATTGAGTCAATTCTGACTCATAGTGACCCCCATTGGGTTTCCAAGGTGGTAAATCTTTACTGAAGTAGATTTGCCCAGCCTTGCTTCTGTGGAGTGTCTGGTGAGTTTGAACCACCAACCTTCTGGTTAGCAGTCAGATGCCTTAGGCACTGTGCTGCCAGAGCGATGTACAACAAAAGGTGCTTTGAACCTAAAATAAAGTTCTCTCACAGGTCGTGTTTGTCCTAAGAGTGCTTTGGTTTGAATTATGTTTAAGGCTTTTCTCTTTTACAAAGTATCATCTCACACATAATATGTCCATAAAAAAATAAGCCCCTAAAGATGTTGCATGGCAAACCCTTCTTAAAAAGGATAAAATTATTTGTGATAGGCTTCTGCTGATGTGCTGATTTTGCTGTCAGAACATTTCAGCAGAACTGTCTGGTTTCCCCTGAAAACAGCAGTTCTTTGGTGATTCAGACTTGGATAATTGTCCATTCCCAAAGGAGTCCTCTCCCCTTTCTAGGACCAGGGTGTAAGTTTCCTTCATTTCTTTTCTGCTCTGAGACATCAGAGACAGAGTGACAGCAGTGTCAAAGATGAACAGAAGGTACATGGCCCAATTATGTGTTAGCTCTGGCTATCTCTGGTGTCTGATACAGTCTCTCCTGACTCCTTTTTTAAGGTGAGTACTGAGATAGATGAGTAGTTTCTGTGTCATTGGACAGAAAATACTGTCACATCTGATTATAAAACTGATAATTTTTGTTTTAATTTTTGTTTGTTAACAGCAGAGAGTGAGAAATTGAAAATGTTGGTTGATGTTATTAAAAAGTCTGGTAACTTTAATACTCATAGTGACCCCCATTAGGTTTCTGAGGTGGTAAATCTTTACGGAAGTAGATTTTCCCATCTTCCTTCTGTGGAGTGGCTGATGGACTTGAACCCCAACCTTCTGGTTAGCAGTCAAATGCCTTAGGCACTGTGCCACCAGAGCTCCTTGGTAACTTTAATAGGAAGTTCTATTTTGAATTGTTGCTAAAAGTTAGTTAGGAAGATGTAAACCAAAAAAAACCCCAAACTCACTGCCGTTGAGTCAGATCCAACTCATAGCAACCCCTCCTTGGGTTTCCGAGGCAGTATCACTACAGAAGTAGATGGCCCAATCTTCCTTCCAAGGAGTGGCTGATGGGTTTGAACCGCCAGCTTTCTGGTTAGCAGTCAAGTGCCTTAGGCACTATACCACCAGAGCTCCTTAGTAAGATGTAGTTCCAACTCCACTTGGAACACTGATTAAAAAATAAGATTATTCTGTTTTAAGTAAATTTCTATGTGCCTTTATTATTGATTTATTATCATTTATCCAAACATTTGTCATACTCATAAGCAAAATAGAGAACACAGCCATTTAGACAATATAAATCCCATCTTTTATTTGATCATGTGTCCATGATAAAGAGAAGATAGATCACATCTTATCTCCTTGCAATATAATTGTTTATTCACATCTGGAACCCTGTGTTGATATATTGGGATGGTGTTGTTGTTGTTGTGTTGTTATGTGCTGTCAAGTCGGACCTGAATCATAGTGACCCTTCCTTGGGTTTCTGAGGTAGTATCACTACGGAAGTAGATAGCCCCATCTTCCTTCCGAGAAGTGGCTGGTGGGTTTGAACCTCCAGCCTTCTGGTTAGCAGTCAAGTGCCTTAGGCACTATGCTACCGGAGCTCTTCTTTAATGAGCACTGGCAGTGCAACAGTTAAGCACTCAACTGCTAAGTGAAATGTTGGCAATTTGAACACACTCAGCAGTTCCATGGGAGAAAGATCTGGCAATTTGCTCCTAGGAAACTCTCTGGAGCAGTTCTACTCTGTCACGTGGGGTCACTATGAGTTGAAGTTGACTTGATGATATCTAAATAACAAAAACAAAGCTCTTCATCTTTTTTTTTTTTTGTCTGTGTTATACTCCATGAATTACTTTTCTTAATTTTCTTAAATTGCTATATATATTTTTGTCACCTAATTTTTCACTTCACAAATGTCATGCTTTCACTTTTCTCTTAATTAAACTTTAGATAAATCTGAGTAGCAAAATTCAACCATGTACTAAAATTTGAATGAATATGATACCATAGATCAAAAGACCACTTAGGATAATAAGGATTTGAGGATTCATTTGGTCAACAAGAATAAACCTTGGACTGTGGTAGGTGCCAGAGCTGGAGTGGGGATTGCTGACATCAGCAAGCTTATAGGACATTTAGGGAGTTTTCATGTAGTCGGAGACCTTCAAGTGCTATGAAGAGATTTACTGCAGAGGTTTGAAGTGGAAGGAGCATTTAAAGCTGTTTGGAGGCATTTCACTCCTAGTAAGTGGTCCTGTAAGAATTAATGTTGACTTTCTTACTGAATCTTGAAGGGTACTTCCCAAGGGAAAGGAGAACAATCAAAGAATGTTAATGTGGAAAAACACATTAGAATGAAGATCTTTGGATTACACCAAATACCATGGCATTTACAGTATTCATGAAGTGTGTGTTCATTTTCCAGACCCATTCCTGGTCATCAGATACAGCATCTATGCTCTCCTGAGAACCTAGACATGTACAGTTCATAGCGTAATCCAGGTAATATGTTCACTGTTCTCAGGAATTAGGATAGCCCTACAAAAAGGCTCCTTCCTTTATGGGAAACTAAACCATGCAGGTAACTTAACTTCTTCAGGTAGTTTATCAATAGAATATCACCAGCCACTCCTCGGAAGGAAGGTTGGGCAATCTACTTCTGTGGTGATACTGCATAGGCAACCCAAGGAGGGGTCACTATGAGTCGGGTCCGACTCAACGACACATAACAACAAACAACAACTACATGTAGAATTGGACAAGTCATTTAGCATCTCTGGACCTCAGTTTCTTTGTCTAAAAGTAAGGAAGTTAATAACTGATTTCTTCTGTCCTTTCTAGATTGGAAGGGATAGCACAAGAGTAGGCATGAGTCTTAGAGTTGTTAAAGCTCTGTCTTCTATTTTCTAGATTTATAACCTTCTGAATACTATACTTGATCGAGTCGATTTGGTGTTGCTTCCCTAAGGATGATTGTTTTCTTCTCTGCCACCCTTCCATCTTATGTTCCTAAACTTCATTTTTCAGTTCAAGACTATCTTGAGCCCTGAATATAACCCTGTTTTTATTCATTTTGTTCTTGTATCTGGTCAACAATTACAGCATTCTTTAAGATACCTATAGTCCATAAGGGAGCTCTGGTAGCATAGTGCCTAAGGCATTTGACTGCTAACTAGAAGGCTGGCGGTTCAAACCCACCAGCCACTCCTTGGAAGGAAGGTTGGGCAATCTACTTCCGTAGCGATACTGCCTCGGAAACTCAAGGAGGGGTCGCTATGAGTCGGGTCCAACTCGATGGCACATAAAAACAACAACAACACACTATGTATATGCAAAGTGTGATGCGGAAGTTGAAAGTGTGGGGTCTAGAGCCAGACTGTCTAGGCTCATTCCCAGCTCTGCCATTTATCAGCAGAGGTCATTATTTCTCTGAAATGTAATTAACAGTTCCTTTTTCAAATATGGATATGATTAGACTGTTGATGAAATATATCCATCCTGATTTGTTTCTTGTTGATGACTTTTGGTGCCAGTGCAATGAGCCTTCCTTCCAAATGCTTTCATCCTAATATTTTATAGTTAAGCTACTCTGAAAAAGCAAATCTCTTCTACACCTGTGGAGTAGTAACATAGTTCATACGTTAGCTAATTTGATTGCTTCTATTTTTGACACATCCCCCAACTTTTCATTCTCCTTGGGAGTGTCAGTCCTATCCATTTCTTTGAAAGCCATTATTCTCAGGAAGTTAAGTTCCTACAGATGAACCTCTAAGTGGAGGCGTCCATCCCACCCCTCCCAGCAGTGTGTCACCTCATAGCTCCTGCAACACTGGGGATTGGCCGTTTATAAATGCATTAAGAAAGCCTAATAGATGCTTCCTACAGTTTCTTCCAGGCTAAAATCTTAACTAGTCTATGGATCAGCACCCATAAGTGGTAGTTCATCCTTTGACTATTTGCTGAGGGGAGGACATTTCCTAATTGTGGAGCTATCAAAATTCTACCAACCTTCACAGAGGGATTTTCAATTTCTCTCTTCAAGAAGCACAAATTACTGATTTATGTGACTT